ATCTCCAGAAGTCCAGAAATCCACATCCATGCCACTGTTTGGCCCAATTCAGACGCTTTGCTTTCATTGCACGGATTAACTTGGGCTTCCTGGTGGGGCGGCAGGTCTTAAAATTTAAATCCTTTAATTTTCTTCGAACAGTGCGTTCAGAAGCATTCACATTAATATCTTGGAGTTGCGATTTTATCACTTTTGTGGTAGCAAATCTGTTTTCAAGGCAAATTTTCTTTAAAGATTTTTCTGACCTTGGGGTGAAAATAGGCTTTCTGCCGCATTTTTCCTTTCTTTTTGGGCTCAATTCTTTCCCTGACTCAATTTTCTTCATTATGCGTCGTACACTTACTTCAGAAACTTTCAACCTTCATGATATTTCGCAGTTTGAAAACAATTTCGCATTAAACAAGGACCTTTACTTCTGCTTTCTTACATGGTGAAAAAGACCTCCTTTTTTACCCATGCTGAAAGTGTACAAACTGACTATTTAAACGCCGCACACGAAATAAACAAATAACTGCGTAATATAAGACTGCTAAATTAGCAAACAAAGCACATTAACCCACAGAAACGCGTCCGCAACTGAAGCATGCGTGAATGCGACTCGAACAGGTTTAGTCTTGTTTACATTCGTATGAGAATTTATTAACTTTGTGTTGCCATGTGTGTGAAAAATAAATACAAATACAAAATATATAATAAATTTCCCCATTAAAAATCCATTGGATCTATGTTTAAATGTGAAAGTATTGTATATAAACTTATATAAAACAATTGATTATTAAAAAACAGGAGTGCGTCTAATAATTTGACCAGGGACTGTAAATATATATATATATATATATAATCCAATATAAAAAAATTCAATATATAATTATATACATATACATACACATATATATACATATACACAAATATATAAACGAAAATATAATAATAAACATATAGTTATATACCTAAGATAACTAAAATTAGGAAGAAGGCACATAGTATAATGACAAACTCCTGGCCTTAGGAACCAGGATTGCAGGTTTATAAACAAATATATATATATAATACATTTTTAGATTGTAAATATCTCTTTATATTACAATATATATTTATAAATAAAAAAATCAGGACTTTTTTTTTTTTTTTTTTTTTTGTCATTTACACATTATTTTCTGTTTTTTAACAATTCCGTAATTTAATTCATACTCACATACGAAATAATAATAATTTTTTAATAAACTAATTTGTTATTTATCGTTTAAAAGCTAGTTTTAGTTTAAGGAAGTTAATAATGTTTAGTGAAATTATTTTACGAAAGACTATGTTTCCTAAAGCTGAGATGAACTAAAGCGTTGCAAAATTACTGTTGAAAAGGTTGCGCAGTATTTTGTTAACAACAAAAGAGAAAAATAGTTTAATAGATCCACATGCCTGGAAAAAGTTAATTATTACCACTGGTGTAGCTGGCTTTGAGGGGGCCCTGCATCAAAATTGCTTCGGGGCCCTTTTTTAGGTATGGGAACCCTGTTAGTGGGACTGTAGTTACACATGTTTGGGCCTCTGTAGCTTGGGAGCACCGTATCGTTGATACAACGGTATCTACGCCTCTGATTATTACCTTTAATACAGGAGAAAATATCCTCATTATTAGTTGTTACATTATGAAGCTTTCCCTTTACAGATTTATAATGGTAACAATTTTATTTGTATCAATTGATTCTGTTTTTTCAACGAGCTCACTTTCACAGTTTCCATAGTTAATTTTTAAAAACATCTTAAGATGACTTGGTACCCCTAAAATCCCAAACCTATCGTTTTTTTTTATTTTCATTTAATCTTATTCTTTGCTTTATTATCTTTCGATTGATATATCACTTGTGCATGTCGGAAAGTTAGAAGTTGAATAAAACTTCATTTGAAAACAAATTAGGCGATTCAGCCACGCCCCCTTTTTAGAAAAAAAAGCTAAAACAAGCGTTTTGATAAAAAAATCTAATTTATAAAGAGAAATAATAACATTAAAAAAAGAATGTGCAATATATAAAGCAGAATATTTCCGAGGCAATGCATACAATCGTTTTTTTTTCTTTGTGAAATGTGTGCATGTAAAATTTTTAAATTAAGGCATTTTATATTAAAAATTTTATAATTTCAGTTCTTATTCCTGATATATTTTTCATACAAATGTAATACTTTAATATTATAAGAAAAAAAAACGGATAAAATTTCTGTCGTGACAGAAAAAAATTTTTTTTTTTTTAACGTTTTTCTTGAATTTTCTTGTGCAATTAGTACTCTCTAAAAGTTGATCATTTATAAAAATGTGTGGGTTGAAAAAATATGAAGATGCAATTATTTTAAAGAAAAACGTATAACTAATATCTTAAAGTGGTATTTTAAGTTTAATTAAGCTTATAATAATTATTTTTTCAGAATTATAAACTTTAAACTGGTTTTTCTCAGTTTGTGTTTTTCGAAACCTTAGTGCATTCAAAATGCTACTCCTTCGACAATTATTTACCAATCACTTCCATTTTTTCCTGCGTGTTAAAAATAAAGTATGTAATAAAATTAGGGATCCGTTTTGCTATAAACTGAATACTTTTTTAAAAAAAAATAAAATGTAAGACATGTTGGCTTTTTCGTTGATTTTTAGCCTGTATATCAACATTTTATTTTTTTCTCGAAAACGAATAAAGTTATTCTAAAATCGATCCCTTAAGTTGTTGAGAACACCCATAAGAATATTATAAAAAAATTTCAGGTCAAAAAATTAATTTTTACAAAAGGAGTAGGATTTTAAAATTTTCCCAATTTTCTTCAAAAACTTTAAATTTTTAAAATTGTGTAAATAATATATGAAAATTTTCATCTGGTATCATTTTCTTGAATAGAAACATTGTATAAAATGCTAAAATATAATTTTTAAATACGTAAATAAAGAAATTTGCTCAAAGGGTGCCAAGTGCCCTTAATAACTTCAATGAATTGAATTACCTAGCTTAACTTTCTATTGGCGTTCTTGAGCATAGTTTAAAAGACAGATTGTTTCGATATTGGAAACTGAACTATTTCTGATAAAAAAAAGTCTCCAATCAACATTGCAGTCTTTTACGTGTTAAATGCGATTTAGGCATGAGATGTTTAGTTCATGAATATTAATTATTAATAGTTAATTTATTTTTTTTCCACTTAAATTACTACATTTACCTCAAATCAAGACCACTTACTTTCGTTTAATTTTTAAGACTAGAACCCTGTGCAATATTTTAATTAATTTTCTTTAGAGAAAAGTTTTAGTTCTTTATTTGACGCATACAAATCTGTTAATTTACGAATTGTAGAATTACATTAGTTATAATAACTATACAAATTAGAGACAAGCTTCGTGAACTAACAAGTACACACGGTAAAATTTTTAAATAAGAATAATTCTAAAAAGTGTTTGATACTTGTATATATATTCATTACAAGAAGGTGAAATTATATACTCCTATATGTATATGTATATATATATTTATATTCAAATATATTTTGATTCTTCATTTATTTTGCTTAATTTTGTCTTAGGTTTCATTACTAGAATAGTTTTACTTTAAGCAGTTGATACAGATATTTATAACATTGAAACTGCTAAACATTGTCAAATCACTGTAGTCATACGGTTCCAAAATTATTTTTCTGTTAACCTTATCGATGAACCCTTTTCTAAATATGCAAGAGATTATCCTATTTGAGACAGGACGATAATTAAAAGTACTTTATGGGAGTCTAATTTAATTCTAGATGAAAAAAAAAATGCAGCCTTATAAAAGTACAAATTTCCTGTCATGTATCTCCACTATGAAAAACTAATTTATTACAAAAATTGTTTTAGTTCTTTATTTTATCTCGCCATATTCAACATTATTAAAAAAATTATAAATTAATTCAGCTTGAATGTGGCTAGTTATAAAATAGTGTTAGTAGTTCAATAAAAAAAGAGAAAATATTCGTAATTTTTGTTTCACAGTACATTATGTTTCAGAATTTAACATAAAGCATCATTTTAAATCTTCAGTTCATACAAAATATATTTTGTTAAATTTTAATGGTTAACTATTTTGGAATGGATTATTTTTACTTTTTCACAGCTTGTTTGAAATTACGAAAATGTTTTTTTAATACCTTCATTTTATAAACTTTTGTGCGAATGTTCATTACTTATTTTTTCCAGTACTTTTTAATCATTACACGAATTAATGCCACTTCAAGCCTTTTTGTTACATATTTATTAAGTAAAAATAAATTGCTAGGATTGTTTGGGGTTTTTTTTCGAAAAAAAATGTGTAATTTATAAACCGTAGTAAAGATTTATTTCATTTCACTCTTTTAACTAATTTAATGAGTATTATTTTAATTCAAAAAGAAGAAACAGCAAACCCGTTTTATATTGGTAATCCGTTATTTATTTTTACAAGTTGTATTCAAATGTATCCGAGGATTATGAATTGCCCCCAATGGACCACCTAGTGACATCTAGTGTTGGGATATGACAAAAGCTTTTTTATTATTATTCAACAATGCAACATTAATCACAGCTTTTGCCACTAGATGGCACGACTTTACGGGAACATAAATCATGTCTGTTGGTTGAAACGTGAGATACTTTTTAATAGCTCCAACTTTATGGGTAGAGCCATTCACATGACATATACTTTAGTTTCGTTTTCCTCTGTAAACAATGTAGCCATTTCCGGGACACATTTTTTTTTCTTTCCAGTTTTTAATGAAAGCAAATATATCTCATAATATTAAATTCTCATAAACTGAATTTATAGAAAAGTTTAGAACTTTTAATAATTAAAAAAAATCATTGAAAAACTTAAAATAAAATAGTTTTAACTCTTCAATTATGTTGAATAAAGATGAAATAAAAAAATTTTAAACCTCTACACCACGAAATTATCTCTAATTTTGCATTTTTGTTGAGTAATAGTTTTCATTTATACTTTTAAGTTCCCTGTGTTCAAGGTGGTCCGGTGGCGCAGTTGGTAGCGCGTCTCCCCCCGTCTGAGAAGGTTGCGTGTTCGAATCACGCCCGGGCCACCGGTTTAACTGCCAGGGGGCAGTTTTTTTCTTATCAAATTTCAGCTTTATTTAATACTCAGTAAGCTAAAATAACTTTTTTTGCCACAAGAAAGCTTTACTTTTATTTTTAAGAAGTATAACAGGAAAAAATAGAAAGCTTCATTCTAGTAAAGTCATTCTGCAAATGGTATAAACTTTGATACACTGAACAGATAAATATAAAAAAATTCAATTAATTTAAAATTCATATATTTCTCGGAGGATCTGATTAACTAAGCCATTAATTTAATTTAATAACAAAATTATTATCTAAAATTTCGGCCCTAGAACTCAGAAATCAAATCAGTTAAGATAATCGGCTAAGCAATGGGCACAAAATCAGCCCCCACACCCCCCAACAAAAAAATTATTTGTTAAAACTTCTGTAATGTATCAGAATTTATTTTGTTACAAAAAATGTTTTGACAAAATTTTGATAGAAGCAAGATTACCCTTATCATTTATAAATTGAAACTGAATGAAATGTTTATATTAAATACATAATATACACTGTGGTTTAATCTTCAGAAATGCATATATCTTCATCCGGTTTATTTATAAACAATTTACAAAATAGGAGTACTCAAATTTCTTTAAAAAACACGTCAAGCTTTATATATATATATTTCAAAATGAACAAATATATTTTAAATTACGAAAATTTTTAGTGATATAATTTCGTAAATTCTTAAGCATTAAGCTTTTTTTTTTGTAATTTAACACACCTACTTTAATAATAACTTATTTTTAAAAATAATCATTCCCATTACTTTAAATAATTTGCACGTAGATGAATAAATACACGTGGGGATTTTGAGGGATTATTTAATACAGCTTACATCTTAAAATAATTTATATCGTAATTGGTTTTTACATAATTACGAGTATTTTCAAAAGTCATCAAATCAGTTTTAATTAAAAAATGATTTGTTCATTCTCCATTTGCTTAGCTGAGGATTTTATCATTCAAAGTACTAAATAACTTAACGATTGTCGATTTAGTGCGGAAGAAAAAAAGAAAATTACTTCCAAAATTTACAAACTGTTAAAGATTTTATATTTAAAAACTTTTTTTCCCCGAAATATTTAAGTCTATTTTGTTTTATTTCTTAAAATTTACGAAGTTGAAAATACATACATAAAACAATAATAATATGAATAATTTTTGTATCAAATTTCTTTTTAAATCTATTTTGAGTTAAGAGAAAAATTGGAACCATGAATATTTTTCAGATATTTCTTTTAATTGTTTAAAACTTTGAAAACATATGATCGAATTGAAAAATAAGATTCATTGTACTCATATTCAAAAATTATTGAAACCTTATAAAAGTGTTAATTACTTTATTTCATCCTTTTTTTTAATGACATATATTACACTTTACTTTCTTTTTATCTCTCAGATAGTCATTTATTTCAAAATTTTAATGAGCAGTAAGGTTTAATGATTTCAATAAGCAGCAGTATTCGAAATTATATAATGTTTAAAATAATTTCCTTACCAAAGTTAGATTTTAAGTATTAACATTTTTTAATATATTAATTGTATTAATTTTTTCCCAATAAAAAACTTTTAAATGAATAAAGTAATTTTTTTAAGTACTAAAAAGCTGTATTATATCAAAAAATATTTTAAGTATAACTTCAAATATGTTAACTGGGAGAGGTATGGGGTGGGGAGGGGGAATATGCTCGCATCTGCTTAAATAAAACAAAGGATAAACAAGTACTTAAAAGTTAAATAAAAAATAATTTTGGCGAATCTTTTTGGTAAAAATCCAATGGAATTTTCAATGTTTTAGAAACACATTATAAAATACATTTCGATTATTACTGTTTTCTTAGATATAGTTCATTGTATCTATGATGGAGGGCGCTTCACAGGATAATCGGAAGTATAGCAAACGATAATGCTGGAATTCCACCATTCTGAATGTTATTTTCGGGCTTATACATTTTTAAAATGGAACTATACTGTTTTAAATCCTAACTCATAAGATTTCTCAAGAGAAAAACAGTATAATAATGTAGAATTTTAAAAACAAGATGTACGAGCATATCTCTCTTTTGATCTTTCAAATTTATCGGTGAATTTTTTTAAAAAAAAAAAACATTGTTATATTTAGAAGCATTTCATTTAAAAACTGAATTAACTTTTAAGATGTATTTTAAATGTATTAAAATTAAATTGATTTTTAATGGATTTTTTAATCGGTTGAAATATAAAATGATTTAAAATGGATGTGTAAGAGCAGCTATCAATTATAAAATTATTTGCATCAATTTAATATATAAACAATTTAATACATAAATATAATTTACTTTTTTAAAAAAATTACTTTCCAAATCAACCATATTTTTTTAAAAAAAGAAATAACCTGAGCAATTGATATGACGGATGAATTTTAGAGCAATCAAAAAAACTCAAATTCAGAACTCAAAATTGCACATTTTTTACCATCTTCAAATGTCTTGATGAATATTTAAAATAAATTTAAAGATTGTAATTAAAAAAAAATTTAAAAACAAAATAGTACCTGTAAGAATAAAAACTAATTCTTTTCAAATTATAGACATTGTATTTCATGAACAAAAAACACAATGAGGGCTAATGAGTTGTGAAATTACTACTACAGCAATCAGTTCCAACGACAGTGTGTGTGTGTGGGGGATCTTCTAAAAAAGTTTTCCAATCAGTCTGATTTTTAATTAAATTAAAATTAAAATTTTAAATTAAACTTTTTAAAAAATGTTCAACGAAGATTTAAAAAAAATATGCATATATAAGTAAACCTTTTCTACGATTTATAATTAATTCTGTAACCTAAATTTAAAAATAATTCTTTAAATTGCCTCAGTCTAATCATGTATCATGTACATAGGAATTATATTGCTGATTAAACTGTACTTGACAAATTGTAGCTCTATAAAGGCAATTATTTGACATTGGCTAGATATACATAAATATTTCGACCTTATAGCTTTCTTAATTTAATTGAAAAATTAATACTCTGAAAATTAAAGCCTAAATAAAAATAATGCCTCAAAATCAAACGACGTGCTTTAAAAATTAAATTATCTCCTGATTTTTTTTCAACTGGTTTTCCAGGATAGCTGCTTTCACATTATTATGTAACTTAATTGATTTGATTTTGTAATTTCATTTGTTTGTTTTTGTAACTTTTGCTTTATAAATTGTCTTTTCTTTTTTTTTCTTTGTTTTGCTTTTGTAAAACCCTTGTCATACTTGTGGTCCTCAGGAATTATTCTTTTTATATTATTTTTTTTTCAAAAAATAATTTTGATATTACCTAGAAAATGTGACTAAGCACTATGTTTCTAAAATGTAAAATGCTTTTCTTCTAGTGGTGTAATTAAATGGTGGAATTTGATTCCAACATTTAATTACACTACTAGAAGAAATGTGCACTATTCCCTACACCAGAACTATCTAAATTTCTTCTAAAACAACAAATTGCTGTCTCTTATGATTTTAGAAAATCTAAAATAGTTAAAGGAAATAAAATGCATAAATATCGTTTTGAAAATGGTAAAGAAGAGATAAAGAATCCTTACTATTTAAATTTCTCATCGTTACATTGCATTCAGAAAATTGGTTTTCCGAAGAAATGTACGTTTTGCGCGAATCTCTCTCTCTCTCTCTCATCACCATAACTAAATCTCCGTCTTTAAAATGCTTTTCTTCTAGTAGTGTAATTAAATGGTGGAATTTGATTCCAACATTTAATTACACTACTATAAGAAATGTGCACTATTCCTTACACCTGAGCTATCTAAATTTCTCCTAAAACAACAAATTGCTGTCTTTTATGATTTCTAAAAATCTAAAATAGTTAAAGGAAAAATAAAATGCATAAATATCGTTTTGGAAATGGTAAAGAAGAGATAAAGAATTCCTCGTCTTTCTTAAATTTCTTGTCGTTACTTTGCATTCAGAAAATTGGTTTTCCGAAGAAATGTACGTTTTACGCGAATCTCAGCACTATAACTATATCTCCAAAGAAGAGAAAGAGGTAGTTTTGAAGGAGTGAAAACTATCTATTTTTTAATTTTGTCATAATCTAATATAGCAATAAGTTCAATAATTGCAATTTATCGCACTTTAATACAAATTACTTACACAGTTAAAAGTTATGCATATTAAAAAGAATATTGAAGAATTCATCAAAATAAGGATATTGAATGTATTAATTTCTTTTTTAAAGCAAAAAGAATGGACCTAAGGTTAGTTTCCATACGAATAATCTTTTTAAAAAAATATTAAATAACTAAATTATTTAAATGTTTGAAAATATTGCACAGAGCGTTCGGGTTTAATTCATTTTAAAAGACAACTCATAAAATTAAAACTTAATAAAAATTGTAAGAAATTTACAAGTAATAATCCATATTGTTATATTGCAAGTATACAAAAGCAATATGTAAACAATTTGCTAAAAATTTAAAACTTTTTACAAAAAAATATATATAATATTCTTGTTTTGATTCATCTTTATGTCTTACGAAAACCTTTGGTTTCTCAAATATAAGACATTTTTAATTAACTTTAAATAGTTTGACATGCACAAATTTGCTTTCTTCAAGGAATAAGAATGCTTTTAAGGAATTTTGCTTGCAAGAATGCTTGCAAGGAATTTTGGACTGTGACCAAAATTATGTGCACCAGTAGTTCATGTTTTATTTTAGGATTGTTAAATTGCTATGATTGGAAAATTAAATAAGGATTTCTCTTTATTCGGACTCCTTTATTCATTAACTATCAGGTAGGTAAATACGTCTCTTAAAAAAACAGGAGGAAGAACTTAGTGTCACATAAACACTCTCAACAATTCTAATCTGATCTACAGAATTCCTCTATACTTACCTACTCCTTTCTTAGATCTATTTTTGGCCAGAACGTTCTTGTATGCATGGGAATAACCCTGCACCTCATTTCAAGAATCTATATGAGGAATAAA